CCCCCCCCCCCCCCCTCCCCGTTCCCCCCACTCCATCACCTAGAAATCCCGTGAATCATTTTTTGTCATGCACTGCGGATGACAATGATCAAAAAGTCAGCAAAACGCCTGTTTTTTGACTAATAACCATTTCCGTTCACAAAGAATTTACTTTCTCTGAATAAGGCACAAACCTTCACTGCGAGCGACACGCTTTATTCCAACACCAGCCTCTGCTACTGCTGCGTCAGCAGCTGCTTTCTCTTCGCTGTCGGCATTCATTTTCAGCAGCTTCTCGTTTAGCTCAGATATTTCGGCTTTAGTTTTCGTCACAAATGCTTCAATCTTCTTGAAAAGCTGAAAGAAACTTCGTCAACAAGTTGTGGCGTAATACAATAAATCGCAGAATAATAAAAGCCCAGTTTCCGTGGAAGGCAAAGGCTTTTGAATACAGTCTAGATTTCGCATTTCTGCAGACAGAAAAGGCAATAAAAAAATTTTTGAATGCGGAAATTACGAGGTCCGAACGAGGTGAAATGTTTTTTGAACACCGCACAAAATTTAAAGCAGACTCTGAATCAAACCTTGTATAGGTGTTTCTTTTTTTCTGGAGTGATGTTTGGTTCCTTCATTTTTTCCAGTATCATTTTCTGTTGTTCGATTTCTTTGGACATAAGATCCGATTTTCTGCGTTGCAAATCAAGCAATCTCAATCGGTTTTCTTTTTCTTGTTTTCTTCGACGTCTGATCTGTAAAAGAGAACAAAATCAAAATAAAAGCCTCAAAATGCAAATCAAACTCAACGGTTATCAAAGTCAAGTTCATCAAAATGAGCACAAACCTCAATATATTTCTCCCTTTCCGATTGAATGCTTGCAGAACGGACACTCTGAGCTTCCGCAGCTGGGAATTTCGGAGCCTGCGCAGTCTGTTCATTTGTCGAAGTGCGTGGACCAAGATGAACTGTTTTTGTCAGCGATCCTCGAGCATTGAACGTTACCGATGAACTACCAGCGGGAGAAGCCTGAAGACGTCTTTTTTTCCAATACGTTAATGAAATAAGTCTGTGTTAAAATGTTTTTTAACATCACAACATAGAGTTTACCAACTATGAACTAAAACGAATCAGCATGCCTAATTCTAAACATCGACGAGTAACGTTTTGCAAAAATAAAGTAAACCCTTAAATGTGGTGGAATGTATCATAATTGCAGGTTAGTAAAATTCTCAGTTACAAGATAGCTAATTAGCAAACGTAATGTTCGTAATAAAAGGGTGATGCCCGATATACATCGAAGGCGATTCGCAACGACTAAAGCCTTATCATGCATTTCTGACCACTACAAGGGCTAGCAATCCCACTACGAGACCAAGGATAGCCAGTTGGCTGACGCCAGCAAGCAACTACAGCACTGGACAAAGCAACGACGACAGTGAAGAAGTTGCCAGCTGCACAGATGAAGCATACTACGAACTAAGAACTGCTTCATCCATTTCAGGTACAGTGAAATCTTCAATATTACTGTTACTGATCTTGCTGTAAAGGTGTAATGTAAACTCAATCCTCCTACATCTCTGCGTTTACTGGGGAGAAAGTCAGCAAAAACACAATGAAGCATGCACTGGACGAATCATGGTAAGCATTAACGGGTTGCGGGTTGCAGGGCAAAAGCACTGGAAAGGGAGCTAGGCGAGAAGTAAAAATCAAACCCCTCCCCTGTCTTTACTCATTTTCAGAAGTGTAGTCACTCATGCAGCAGCCCGATAGTAGCGTGTGTCAAAATCAATCATCTGCTGGCAAGGCTGTCAAAGGCTCTCTCTTTCGAGCGTTACAAGCAAGCTGATATCGAATTTTGACTTCCTAGCACACACTATTACCAATTTATCGCCAAAATAAATGAATGAATAGTCAGCGATGAGGCGGTTTGTATCAGAGAAATCGGCAAGACGGATCAAGTGACGCGAACAAAGAAAAAAAAACCTGCGAAAACTGTCTGCAAAAAAACGCTAAAAACCTGCCTCACAGAAGTCAAGCAAGTACCAGGAAGGCTATTGCTGGAATGGCAGGTACCAACTGGACGGGCACAGAAAATTACGCTGGTAGCAGGTTCAGTGTTGAAAGAACACAAATGTTGCTAGCTGCATCGATGACAAAAAAAATAAATGGCCAACGCACGGGCTGCCAGTGCGAGGATGCGTTTTTTGCAGAGTTCCCCGCAGGTTTTTGTAACTACAGGCATCGGTTTTTTCGGTAGATGCCTCTAGCTGAAAGAATTTCAGACTGACCATCAGAACTGTCAGGAAACATCCCCTCAAAATTCCAGTCTTCTAGCTTCTCACGCTCTCGAGTAATTAACTTACCCGGAAGGAACTTTTCATGGGCCTGTACTTAGGTACCACGCTTACCCGCGGGCAGGGTCTGAACTCGTTAATACCCACTTAGACGGGGAACACTCCGCTAAGATTCCAGCTCTCTAGCTTCTCAGAACCCCGAGTTATTAAATTTACGCGGGAAAAATTTTGTGGGGCCCGTGAGCGGGCTCCACGTTTACCCGGGGGCTGGATTTGAGCTCATTAGCACCTGCTTGGGAGGGGAACACTCTCCTAAAATCTCAACTTTCCAGCATCTCAGAACCCCGAGTTATGAATTTACGCGGGAAAAATTTTGGGGGGCCCATAAGCGGGTACCACGCTTACCCGGGGGCTGGATTTAAGCTCATTAGTACCTACTA